AGCCGCCGCCGCCGCGCTCGTACATACGAAGTCCTTCGTAAGTATTTTCGCGACGAATACTTAATTTACGATGCGTGCGCCGGAATGAATTTGCTGACCGTGGGCGAAATGAACGAAGGAACGACCGCGGGAATGGCCGTGATCCATTTTGCGAAACCCTCGCTCAGCTGAACGAGACCAACTACCTCTCTACATAACGTAATCCTATAGATTCCGCGGATTCGGTATATACACGGATACGAGAGATTCTCGAGAGATAGCAACGCACATTTTTCAGTTTAAATTATTTTGTTAAAAAGAATTTTTCGATGTAAACCGCAGTTTCACATAGTGTCTAATTTTCCGGATTAAAAACTTGCGGAAAAACTTTTCTTACGCGCAGCGCTTGATGCAATAAAGATCGGAGGAAGGTTCTCTCGCATCTCTGAATAATTTTCTGAAAAACCCTCCCTTCCCGAGTAAAATCTCCGAAATTTACTGAAAAGTTAAATGAGATGTTCCCGCGAGAACGTGCGCGCGTTACAATTTGCGGCGCGCGCGTTAATCAAAGAATCTCGTTGCGTGGCGCACGAGAAACGCTTTCGTATATGTACCAGTATTGTGTGTATGTGTGTCGCGGCACAAGTCTCACGGTTAATACTCATGGAACTCCCTCCTCGCGACCCAATTGGGAAACTCCGGACATAATCGTGAACCATCGCGCGCCGGGAAAGTCAAGCTACTGGGGGATCTCGGGTCGGGTGTGTGGGCGAGACATTTATTTGACAGCGGCGGAACAACGATTCGGCCGGACCCTCACACCGGGGCACACACGCGCTCTCGTGGAAATCTCGTTTCATCCCCCTTCGTTGCGCACGCCCGTGTCACCGTTCGCCCTCGCGTCGCACGAACAGCTGCGACTCCTCCTCCTCTCCCTCTCCTCCCCCCGGTCGTCGATTCGCCTTGCTCTAATCCTGCGCTACGCGCGAAACAATAGCCGCGAACAAATGTATTTCTTCCGTGTTGCGAACGAAAAAATAATGTTTGAAAGAAGCGCGACCGAAACCGTCCCTCTCTAGATCGATTCGCGTCGGCGAAGTTTCACGATAATAAATTTAATAAAGAGAGAGAGAGAGAGAGAGAAAGAGAAGAGACTGATGTAATTATATAAAATGCTCGTCAGAAATTGATTTATCACAAAAATATCCGGTAAAGGAGAAACCCGTGTATTGTTGAAAATTAAAACATGAAAAAACTTTTATCTAATTATCGTCTAAATAAAAAAAAAACAATAATAGTAGAGAGAAGGAGAAAGAGAGAGGGAGTTTCGTTAGATTAATCACAATTTTCAAGTTGAAAGATTGAAAGCAACTTTGAAATACTTGCGGAACAGTGTGTATGTAACGGCAAATTGAGAATCTGAGCGGAAGAGGAGAGTTGCGCGTTTTCGCCGATAATAACGGCAATATACGATGTAAGAGTTGCATAACGCGAAGGAAATTCCGATTATTCGCGGAATGGGATTATTGATTGATGTTAGCTCTTGCTCTTCGATAATCGAGTTTGCGCAAGGTAATTGTAACACTCGCGATGCTGCCGGCGCTCCTCTTTCTCGAGCCATTCACCGTTGATGAATGGGATAAATACGCGACGCTGATCAACTCGAAGGGAGTGTGTTCGATGAATAAGAGCGACGCCGAATACGATAGGACGCGTAATTGGCCGACGGCTCGTTACGCGCGCGATAGGCACGTGCCAGTTTCCCCGACTCGGTGCGATTTCCGCGTCAAATGTCTGCTCGATTTACTCGCCGACAATACTTGCGTCGTTGTATATGTATATATATACATATATATATATACAACGACGCAAGTATTGTCGGCGAGATATATATATATATATCAGCGGCGATCGATAGAATAAAAAAAAAAAACAATTATATATATATAGTATAAAAAGAGTATAAGACAATTTTTTTCCTTTACAGAACTATTACGCACACACATCTAAGTCTCATACTATTTTAATGATTATCAGGTAAAAGTTTTATCCAATAATTAATTAAAATTTCTTTGTTCGTGGCATCAATTGTAGATTATTGGTATCGCATTGAAACTATCTATAAATATAACATAAACACTTCGAATAGAGCCGAGCATTTTGAATTCTCATACATATATATTCAATTTTTTGATATATTCAGTATCACGTAATGCCGTGATAAAGACGACAGTGCGGTGACATTAATCCGCGACCGAATGTAGTTAGATAGAAAGAGAGAGAGAAAGAGAGGGTAGCAGCAAGGCGAGGAAGCTTGCCGTGAAATCGAGTTAAATGAACTCGTTATCGTCGGATTTATGAGACGATAAAAGCGCCTCTAATAATTCAGATATTAAAGTTAGCGTATGCGGGTGCGCGCGCGCGCGTACCGCGGCCTACATTCGTGTTTTTCGCCGCGCGTTTTCCGCGCCGACGTGCGAACTATCAATTAAGCACGTTATAACGGTATCGCGGGATGATCGCGGGATTATGCCCGAATTTGCAATTAGCGATTACTCAGTCGAGGCTGAGCAAAATTATCGGGTCGCGCGATACCTCGGCTGCTGCTGCTGCTGCTGCTGCTGCTGCTGTTAATTATGGCGTTGTACCCGGAACGAATCCGAGACCGTTTTCTGCTTTAAGATATAATGCGGCCAAAAGTACGGTAATTGGTAAAGTTACGCGAAGTGCATATTATACGAAAATTATACGAGTCTCCGAAGTTGAACGCAAAACGCGTGTTTCTTAATCATTATTTGGATTAATGCAAACGAGATATAATATATAACTTGTATTTTTAACTATGAAAAAATGTTCAAGATTCTATTTTACAATTCTAAACAAATGAGCAACAAACCTCAGATAGTTTTTGAAACTTCTTTGATTTGCTTATTCTGATACATGTGCCTAAATACTCAACGCTCTACGAAAACCTATTCAGACATTGATGAATCAATAATTTTATTAAAATATTTATAAAATAAAATATTTATAAAGTGAAAAAAATATTTATAATGAAATATTCTATTTTTACTCTTTCTAGTAAGACATGTATGTATGCCGTGCAATTATAGTATCGAAATGTCATTAATGATTGTTTTTAACCCAATCTTATTGGCTATCTATTACGGTGCAGCCAATTTTAGAACGATCGCATCGGTTAAAATTACACCAAGAGTGCACAATGAAGTAATCTAGTGAACCCAAGAGAGAAAGAAAAAAAGAGAAAGAAAAAGAAAAAGAGAGAGAGAGAGAGAAAGAGAGAGAGAGAGAAAGAGAGAGAGAGAGAGAGGGAGAAAAAGAAGTGAGGGAAGGAGGTTTCGTTCGCGGAATTATGGCGCTGCTGGGTTAACGAACCCTCGAGATAGCAAGGTAACCGCTGGCCGCGACCGCTTTTAAATCCGGATAGGAGTAGAAAATGGACAAAGAGATAGGCCGAAAGTAAAGAACTGCAGCTACCGGCGGATAAGTTAATTACGAAATCCGATTGAGAGGGCACACAGGTTCATTTGGAATTATTCTCGCGAGGAAGTTGCTAACTAAATTACTCGACAAGGAAACGATGATCGAATGAGGGATCAGCAACAAGCGTGAGCGCGCGCGCGCGCGCGCAATTCATTGTCCGAAGTCCAAGAAGTAAACTCACGCAAAATATGTGCGCGTTAACTCGCTCTGTTAACGGCTCTTAAATCTGAGTAGCGAAACAATCAGATGGAGTTTCTCGAGAAATCAGTAAAATCGCGTTGAGTTTAGATTATCGCGCTATAGACTCCGACTAATAAACAAAGGGAAGAAAAAAAGAAAAAAGACAGAAAAAAGAGAGAGAAAAAATGATTCATGTATATTCACATGACAATGTGGCAACACGCTTTTTTTTGCAATCTATGATTGAAAATCTTCTCTTAGAAAATCGCTTCACTCCAACACCATAAACAGTGTATTACTTCGTAATAAGGAAAAATTATTATTCAGCATCTCAGGAAATGTATTCAGACTAAATATATCCGATAAATAAAGCTTTTATTTGAACTATTAACAAAAAAAACACTTGAAAAATTAATATTTCATATACATTTAATTGAATTATGATACTATTTAAATAGTATAAAATAATTGTTGTATTAATAGTTGCACTTTTTTTAAGCAATGGGCGATCATTTATACCAATATGAAACATATAAACTATTAATGATTTTACAAGACGCGCAAAACTACAAACTATGGCTACTACAAATAATCGAAAAAAGTCACTTGATTACTCACACGCCACAAATATAAACGTAAAAAAATTGTAAAATTAACATTATCGCGACTCACAATAAAAAATTATTTTGTTAAATTAATGATCACGTAATAAAATAAAAGTAAAGATCCGAGAAGAATATAAATACGGAAAAAAACATACTTAACATACTTAATAAATAATCTCTGGTAGTTGTAAAGTTTATAATACATCATCGAAAACAGGTTTATTGAGTACTTCATTAATAAATATATATTTATATTATTATTGTGAATATTAATCATAAGTCTGTTACATGATATTTTGTTTCTAGAGAATCACAAGATCTTATTCTAAACTAAAATATTCAAATATATGTTTTTTTCTACAATGCATACGGTACATTACATCTTATCACATTTACATATAATAATGTATATCTTTGTTTATGCTTAAAAACAAAAGTATTTGTCTCTAAAGTAGTAATATCAATAAAAAGTTATTAGCTTTCAAAAGTTACATCGGCTAAAACCAACTTTCAAATTAAAATATTTTTCTACTCTTTTCCACTATTATACAATACAAATTAAATATATATACAATTAGTACAATAAAAACATTATATATCTAGTATTTCAGTCTTATACTATTTATATCTTGTAAGATAAAATAGTTTATGTTGACTTTTTGTAAAGTAAATTCATTATATAAACATATAACATAAAACACTTTATATTATTTACACTTCACCTGTGTTAAAGGAAAAATGTATGAAAACTGGTTTCACCTACATATAGTAAGATGTGTGAAAAAAAAAAACTAATTTTTGCCACAGAAAACCACAAAGAGAAGTATACATATAAAGTATCTAATATACAACCAAATTGACCTTTGTCGTAAAATATAAAAAGGCGATACATATCACGCTGACGGTAGTATTGAATCGTCGTAGCTCCATTTTCAAACACCGGCCAAGTACAAGCGTGACGATCGCTGTAGTGCTACTTGCTACATGTTAAGAATAAGTATTCCTTTCAGGCAATATGGCGATTACCAAGCTTAGGAAATTGTAACAAGATACTTTGATTCGACAAGAATGACGTTAAAAGTTGCCATGGTTCCTGTATATAACAACATAAAACTGTCGATACACTGTTTGTGTCAAATAAAATCTTAAATTCTGAAGATTTTTGATCACACACAAAACCATTTACAAAAAAAACAAGAATACCTTATACTTCAGTCACACGTTTTCCCTTATTATCTACACACCGTTTCCATAATTCTGGTAATGAAGGAATTCCAAGATCTTTAAGAATCGATTGGCAATCGTTTATTGAATCAATGCGTCCATCGATCGCTTTTTTCACTACTTCAAAAGTTTGAAACTGTGTATGTTTAAGTACGGTCTCTAAGTGCAATCGTGACAACAAGAAACGTTCTGATGGATCAATGTCAAACGATTTAGCAGGATAAGGTAAAACTTCCCATCCAAACTCCAGTATCTGTTTTTTCACGGACTTCAGAATATTCAACTGGGCAAAAACTGCGTGCAACAGAATTACCTTACGCCTATAGTTCGCTACTTGCGGTCGTTTACTGTCCAATGCTTCCTTTAATTTGTTTAATTGTTGTGAATATCGGTCGATAACAATTTCATGTGGTCGTAGCAGTTCGTAATATATAACACCTTTAGTATCCCATCAAATGCAGAGCGTAATTTCGTTTTCAGTACTTCTATTTGTTTCCGTTTGCGTAAAAGTACCGAACTTTATTGACATTTCACCTTCAGTCACAACTTGATCCAGAAAGTGCTCTTCTTTATTGTGTCTTGACAGCAGTGTAACGCAAGTGGTGCAACGTATTTGAGTAGCCAAGTCAACCTGATTTCTTTGGTTTTGGAATTGTTTCATGTCTTTTAAATGTGTACAAACAGTTGATTGTGCAACATTTAATTTTCTACTTATTTCTCTTTGCGACATACATGGATTTTCATCTATAAGTTTCTGCAAGTCTGCATTTTGAAACTTTTTTTTCCTACCTAGGGTTAAAAGTGTTAAGTCACAATTGCCACGTTTGAATTGGACAAACCACCTGTAGCATATCGACTTCGATGGTGCAAACTCAGGATAAGTTTTTCTAATAAGACGATGAGCCTCACTGCATTGTTTGGTTTGATCAAAGAAAAACAGTAATAAATGTTGAATATGTCGGATATCACGCTCCATTTTCACGCGTAATAACGTCCTTTTTAACTAATAATTATGTTTAAATGAATAAATCCGCAACTGTTAGATCGCAGAAATACTACAGCTGTAACATAGAACAAAGAATAAATATAAATCGTGTATTTATGTAGATCACTTACGTCATCTCATTGTCGAACGTTAAAAATAAGTGTGAATCATTTAAAAGTTCCTTATAACGCTAAAAACTACATCTTTTTCTAGAACTCCTGTGATGAAAAAATTATATTTACACAAGTTTTGGTCATCTTCTCCAAAGTCAATTCCTTAATAATATTTTTCAAGTGGTCATAAAGTATATATTCTTAGCTTTTTCCCGATCTTTCTAATTTTTGTATTGCAGTATGATCAGTTCTTATTTCTTTACCACCAGATCTAATGTGAGTATAAATCTCTACGGAATAATAGAAATATAAAAGACCATTGTGTAATATAAGGTATTTTACAAATATAGAAAATTTTTATGCACTTGTAATAAAAGAAACCACTTATTTTTAATTCTTTTTTATCTTTTTCTAAGTGTTGCTTTAGAGAAAGTTGAATTCGAATCACTACACTTAATTGACCTGTTATCGACACGCACGTAAATAATGACGAGCAGCACAGAGATTATTAACAGAAACGCAAAGTTGTAGAGCGTTTGGAGTTGGAAAAAGAAAAAATTTGTATATAGCAGAATTTCAGATATTTACAGTCCCAAACAATCACGTGAAGTTTTATTATTAGTTATCTGAATTTGTACTTCGTTTTTATTTTAACTATTAAAGTTGTATTTACTTACTTATATTTCAGTTTCTCTTTGTTATAATTAGTTTTCTTTTGTTTCTTTGTGTGGGTATATTATTGATCTTGTGATATTTTCTGTGATATATTGTCTTTTTCATAGTTTGTGAAGGTGCCCTAAGAGACATGTTCCAGAACGTCTAAGAAATATTTTATTCCTAAAAAAAATATTGTATTCATAGAAGAAAAGCAATAAAGTATACGAAATCATCTTACTACCAATTTCTTTATATGTCCCAATAACCGTCCTTTGTGAATAAAAATATACAAAAAGATATACTTCATCTTTTACATAAAAGTATCGAGAACTTATCTACAAGGAAAAAAATTAAGCCTTAATCAGGCGTAATATAACACACAAAATTAGTTGCCTAGCAAACAAAATTCTACATCCGTTAAATAACATTTCTTAGTAAGTGATATATTGGTTTTTCTAAAATATCACACAATCTTATTGGTGAACAAAATATTTAATTACATAATGTTTTGTACTCTGCATATGAAACCTTAAGTTTACATATAGTAATGTATACCTTTGTCTGTGCTTACAAACAAAATTTTTCAACAATAATAGAAAATACTATAAAGTACTTTTTCTTTCAAATAATAATATCACTAACCAAATCGTAGCTTCAAAAAAGTACATCGACCAGAACTACTTTCAAATTGAAATACTTTTTTATTCTTTTGCACTTTTATACAGTACATATTAAATATATATATAGTTATTACAATAAAAACAGTATATCTAGCATTTCAGACTTATATTATTTCTATCTTGTGAGATAGAAATAACTTACAATATTAAACCATTTTTAGAAATATCGATATTACATGGGTTACGTAGACCTTTTTGTAATGTACTCTTTCATTATATAAACATATATCGTAGAACACTTTATATTATTTACACTTCAGATGTGTTGAAAAGTAAAATGTACAAAAACCAGTTTAAACTACCTGTAGTAACATGTATGAAAAAAAAAACTAATTTTTACTGAAAAAACCACGAGGATAAATATACATATAAACTATCTATAATATAACCAGATTGTCCTTCGTCGTAAAATATAAAATGGCGATACATATTACACTGACGGTAGTATTGAATCGTCGTAGCTCCACTACAAAACACGGGCCAAGTACAAGCGTGAGGCTCGCTACTTGCTACTTGTTAAGAATAAGTATCCCTTTCAAGCACTATGGAGATAACAAGCTTAAGGGACTAACATCATACTTCGATTTGACAAAAGCAAGATGAAACCTTGCCGTGTTTCCTGTATATAACAACATACAAATGTCGATAAATTGTTTGTATCAAATAAGATCTTATATTCTGAAAATTCTCGATCACACAAAAAACCATTAAAAAAAAAAAAATAATACCTTATTCTTCAGTCACAAAGATTTCGTTAGTTTCTATACACTCGTCCCATATTTCTGGTAATGAAGAAATTCCACAATCATTAATAATTGCTGGAGAGTTATTTATTGTATTAATCCGTACACCGACCGACGTTTCGACTTCTTTGAACGTACGAAAATGTTGCTTATTAAAAGCATCCCGTATTCGTGGAAGTAAGTAATATTTAGATGGAGTAACGTCAAAAGAAGTTGCAGGGTAAGGTAAAACTTCCCATCCATACTCCAGTATCTGGTCTTTTACGGACTTAAGAATATTTATCTCAGCAAAAAATGAGTGCAACAAAATCACCTTACGGTTTTTGTTCGCTATTTGCGGTTGTTTACTGTCCAATGCTTGCTTTAGGTTTTTTAATTGTTGTGAATATTGGTTTAAAGCACTTTCATGTGATGGTAGCAGTTCGTAGTATATAATACCTTTAGTATTCCACCAAATGTAGAGCGTAAGTTTGTTTTCATTACTTGTATTTGCTTCTGTGTGATTAGGAGTATAGTAAGATACCGCTATTTCTCCTCCAGTCACAATTCGATCCAAAAATCGCCGTTGATTTTTGTGTCTTGACAGCAGTGAAATGCAAGAGTAGCACTGAATGTGACTAACCAAGTCTATGCTTTTCCCTAGTTTTCGTTGAGAGTTTGGCATGCATTGTAAAAATCTCGAAATACTTGATTCTGAAACATCTAATTTAGTAGCCATTTGTTTTCGCGGTAGATTTGGATTTGTATCTATAAGGTGTTTTGTTTGAGAGTTTGGCATGCATTGTAAAAGTCTCGAAATACTTGATTCTGAAACATTTAATTCAGTAGCCATTTGTTTTTGCGATAGATTTGGATTTGTATCTATAAGATCTTGCAAGTCTTTAAATTTCCTTCTCTCGGAGAAGAATAAGTCCATGCGTTTTCGGACTGTTTGGAAATTTCTCACGGTTCGCAAAAGTTTCAAAAGATATGATTGTGAAACATTCAATTTCTTAGCCATTTCCTTTTTCGATATAGTTGGATTTTCATCTAAAAGTTTGTGCAATTCTTCATGTGTAAACTTTTTTTTCCTATCTGGGAGATTTACATCAAAATTGCCACGTTTAAATTTGCAATACCATTTTGTGCATGTATTGTAGTGTACAGACTTAGGATAAGTTTGTTTAATACGTTTGGAAGCTTCAGAGAGTTCTATGTTTTGATCAAAAAAGAAAAGAAGTAGGTGTCGAAAATGGCGGCAATCACGATCCATAATTTTCACGCGTAATATGAACTTTGTAGCCAATGATTATGTTTAAATGACTAATTCCGCAACTGTTAGATCGCAGAAATACTACACTTGTGACATAGAACAGATGAGGAATATAAATCGTGTACTA